GTCAAATCAAGGCATAGGTCGACGCCTTCCATCTGTCTATTTCATTTCCTCCGCCGCTCCGTTGTTCTTCACACCTATGAAACCTTAATGATAGCATATGCTATATTCTGTTATGACAAGCTTGTCAGCACCGCTGAAAAATGCCAATTTGCTGTTGCAAGCCTCTCCTGACCACACTGAGACATTGGGAGAATATCTTCAGTTTTAAGGACCAAAGTTTAGTTTGCAACGAAATCCTCAAAAAAAATTACCCATTCAGGGACTGCATTATTTGGGTAATAATTGAAAAATGGAGAAAGAGAAACAGATGATTTTTTTCTTTTCCCTCAAAAATGAGGTGAAAAGAAAAGAATAGAATTCTCTTTCTTCTATTGAAAGTTTTTGTGGGAATTAAATCATGATTTCGGTGGGATAAAATAAATAATTTCACTAGTAGGTTCGCTTAAGAATTTGATGCCTCACAGTTAAAATGTGCATTAATTCTAATAATATGAAATAGATAAACAAATAAGATATAATTTAAAGGATTTTCCAAAAAAGTGAAAATAGACTCTTTGGATCGTATTATAGGATGATTTTTTTGAATTTTTTTGTACTTTGACAAGTTAAGCTTGGCTGCTTGGTTCCGATAATATGAAACAGATAAGCAGGCAAGATGAAGTGTAAAGGATTTTTTTAAAAAAATCGAAAATAGACTTTTTTTGATGAAAAATTTGAAGCGCGCCATATTTTTGATGATTTTTTTAAGTTTTTTTCCTACTTTGATCAATTAGGTTTCATTACTCATTTAGGGTTGCATTGCTTATCCCACTGTACAACTGACGACTTTTCTAGTTGCTTGGACTGGTGCTGTATCGCCTAGAGGCTTTTTCAGCAGTTAGTGAAACCAGGCTGTACCAAGCAAGATGTAGTCGTTTATGGGTATGAGTGAGTTGCGAAAATCCTAGCTTTTGTACCTGTGAGATTTTGGAGTGCAAGCGTAGGCGTACTAACATCTAATTTCTTGCTTAGCATCATAAGCCCATATACCACCC